CTCCGGTAGGGGAAAAGGGGGGGCAGTGCTGGGAAGTCGCCCACTGGAGGCGGAAAGTTCCACGTCCGTTTCCCGGTGTTTGCGTGTCTCGGCCTCCCAGACGCTGGGGAACGCTTCAGTACCGGCCTCCCGCACCGGGAGGGTGCCCCGGTTCCCCGTCGTTAATGCTCCGGTTCTCCGTCCTCGCTGCGCTTGGTACAGAAATCGCAGCCGTTGTCCCCGCTGCAAACGGGATTGGCCGGCCTGAGGCTGGCCGGGACGGGGGGACCTGAGGCTGCCCGGAACGGGAGAACGGAAGCGGCGGCTGCTGGTGAGGGCCGAAGTTTGCTCGGGAGGGGGAGCCCCTCGCACCCGTTTTGGGGACGTTTCTTTAATCTCACCCTGAAGTTTGGCCGGTTTTGGGGACATCTGTTAATCTCGACCTAAAGTTTGGTCGGTTTTGGGTCTATTTGTTTAATCTCACCCTAAAGTTTGGCCGGTTTGGGTCCATTTCTTTAATCTCAACCTAACGTTTGGCCGGTTTGGGGTCTGTTTATTAATCTCAACCTAAAGTTTGGCCGGTTTTGGGTGCATTTATTAATCTCATAGTTGAGAAATGACCTTTGAAAACCGGCCTGACCGTTGTTTTAAGCTAAATTAGTTCAACTTGGGTTTAGCAGCCCTGTCAAGCGCCAGCTGAAGCTCCAAAGGCCCTTGAATTTTAAAGCACTTCTAGATCTATACACGACAATACACCAAAGAAAGAAGCTCTTCTCTTCTGCACGAGGGTGTCGGGGTTGCACAGTCCTCCTCACAAGAGTTAGCAGCCCTGTGAATTGCAGAATTAGGCTGGGACTTATCTCTGCTGCCTCGTACCTAAACGCAGCTTTTTAGGTCGCGGTGCAGAGGCTCCGGAGTCATTGCCCTTCTCCTGCTCTCTTCCGTTTTCCCCTCGTCAGGCGAGGACAATAGGCTCCAGCGCTGCCTTCCCGGCTGCCTTTGTTCTCCGGCTGTTTGTGTGGAGTTGATGTTATCAAACATCTCCCTCACTGACCGGGTTTTGGCCGTGTCACCGAGGGAAGCCTTCAGCTGACTTCAGTTTCTGCCAGCGGGCATGTGAGAAGGAAAGGCCAGTTTGTATTTAGCTCAAACCCAGCTTGCAACCACGCTGTAAAAGGCCATTGAAATACTATTTCCGACTTGCAAAGGGCTCACAAGAAGCAAAAAGAGACTTTTGGAGATGGATGTTGCAGCCAGACCGCTGCTTTCTGCTCACTTCCAGCACAAGTTGGGCACCTAAGGGTGGGCTGCCCCAGAAGATAGGTCAAATACCCCCCATGTGAAACCTGCTTCACACGGTGCTCACCACCATGCTCCAAACGTGTGTTCAGCTCAGCCCAAGGCGCAGTTCTCTGTTTTGATTAGACATGAGGGTGGCTTCTGTGTTAATGGTGTCATTAATGCTGCCTCTTCCTGGGGAGAAGGGGGAAAACAAGGCAGCAAATGCCAGAAGAGCTTCAAAAAGGCAGAACCAGCACGTGCAGTAAAACTCTCTGCTCGGATCTGCCCAGTGCAACCTGCTTTCCATGGGGGCAGGTGACTGCAAGTCCGTGTTCCTGCTGTTTGGGTTCCCTGTGCTCTGAACCCACCGGGCTTTTCCTTCCTGTTGGGTGGCTTCCATCATGAGATGTTCTCGAAGCATCCCAAACTCCACAAGGAACTTTTTCTCCCCAAGTACCAGATCTGGGTGCTAACCTGCTGTGACTGTGGCGTGCTCCGGCTCTGCCTTTCCCCGTGGGCCTTCAACTCCTTCTTTCTTCTTCTTGCATTTCAGAAAGCATGCCTTGAACTGCCACAGAATGAAGCCTGCTCTGTTCAGTGTCCTGTGTGAGATCAAGGAGAAAACAGGTGTGTTGGTGCTGGGTTTGGCTTTGGCTTGCCAAACCCCCCTTGTTTCCCTGTTAGCTTTGCTCCTGTTTAACGCAGCCCGTGTTTTCCCTCATAGATTCTACAACTTCAGGCTCTATTTGTCTCTGTAAGCTGGAAAATGGTGGTGGTTTTCCCCTTTAAGGAACTGGTACCCAAATTGTGGTGGTAGTAAGAGTAGCACGTTGACAAATAACTGTTCCAGGGAAAAAGGGACACTTGGCTGTGCTTTCTAAATAGCTTTGAGGCAGACATGAGGAGAGTTTGGTTGCAGATATTGCCTTCTCGCCACAGCAGTGTGCTGCTGAAGAGAAACGGGGTGGGATTAAGTGTGTTGGCCGGGTGTGCTTTGGCGTGTGTCCATCCTGTGAGGATCACTGTCCTTAAAAAGGGTCTTTCATCCGTTTTTCCTTCCCTCTCCTGTGTTTTCGGGATTGAAACTGGGATTTCTCCGAGGTAACCAGGGCCAGCCTGATGCTGCTTTCGCTTTGGTCTCGGAGGTTTTTGAATGTCTGATGCTCTGTCTCTTCCTTATTTAAATTGCAGGGAGCAGATGTTATGGCTTGGAGCAAACAAAAGCCTGGGCCTACTGTAGCACAAGGGGGTTTGTGACCCAGGCACACAAGCTTCTTTTCTAGCTGAGAAATCAGTTTCCAACACGTTCCTCCTCCTCCCCCCCCATCTTTCTGGTGCTCTTTGTTGGAGCGCGAGTGTCGCTCACAATAGCTCAGGATCAGCTGTACAAAGGGTGCTGAGAAATGCTCCTCCGTCCTGGTTAGTAATTAAAAAGAAATGAGAAACGACTCTTTGTCATTGAAATAGATTTGGCCACAGTTCACATCTCACCCAAGCCCCCTTCCTCACCCCCCCTGCCCCAAATAATTCTCCGTTTTGATGATTTCAAACCAGTTCTGGGAAAAGCAGGTATTTTATTTCCAAGTCTTAAAGAGCTGCCTGGAGCATACGCAGCTATTTGAAGAGGCATCAAATCCAATCAATTTGGGAGCTCACAGAAGCATTTGGAGCAGTTTTAATCTACCCAGCAGGGTTTTTGCTGGTTGGGTTGTGCCTCAGGTGTATGAGTTCAAACATGGCAGAATTCTATCTTAAAATCAGAGTGAAGCATCTGTAGTGTTAAAGATACAAGCTTTTTAGTGCTGAATATGATGTTTCAGGACTTTGCCTGTGGGCTGATGGAGGACATGAGTCCATGCTGGGTTTCAGGCCCCTTGGGGCATGGCAAATGCATCTCTACCCACTTCTGTGTGGTGGGACTTGGGCTCTGCCTCTCTCAGGTAGGAAATGTGTTTGTGGCAGTGTTGTAACATGGAGCATGATGTTTTCTGGTGGTGTTTCCAGCTGCAGCCCTCCATCCTGCCTCTTACTCAGCTGGGTTAATGCACCAGGTACCTTCTCACTCAGTTATGCCTTGGCAAGGGAAGGGGGAACATGTGGGCTCTTTGCTGCTGAATTTTTTGACATCCTGCTGGAGCAGAGTCTTGTTCTGCGGCGCTCGGAGCCCCACTGCCTTTTGTCTTCTGTTCCCATTGGTTTTCCTCTCTCCCCACTGTGACAAATGAGCCCCCAGGTGGGGGTGTGGGGTTTTGGTAGCGTGGAGAAGGAGTTGAGAAGGGGTTCAGGATTGCTTTGGGTAAAAGCTAATAAGATAGAAGCTTTCTCAGCTAACAGCTTGATTTGTGGGCTGCCAAATGGAGGAAACTCTTCTGCCCGAAGAACCCCCCGCCGTAGTTGAGATTTAATGTGAGTTACTGAGATTTGCAAGTGGAAAAGAGGGGACGGGGTCATCTGGGACAAAACTGAGCTGCAGATGAGGAGAGGTGCAGGTCCAGCACTCACCTCCTGTTCCCTCACACTTCCCACACGTGTTTTACACTTCAGACAGTACAGACTGGTTGCTTCTGGGCTGAATTGAGCTGGTTTCGGTTCTAACGTGGGGTATCCTGCACCAAATAGACACATTTGTTATGTTCTTCTGCTTGTTCTCTAAAGAAAAGCAAGTCCAAGCATGTCTCACTTATTTTGGTACCAGGGATCTTGTTCAGTTCATTACAGAACTGTGAATCTTTAATTAATGAGATGCAAATATATTGTAATGATTGCATTTGCATACTGACTGAGGCTCAGCACCTCAGGTTGGGCTGTATTTTAATGAAAGATTAATTAGGAATGATGGGGATTTCATTTTGTATAATTATTTTACAGATTTGATGACTCTCTGGTAGGTGACGTGCCAGAGGATGCACAATGCTGTATTAGTGCAGTGGACAGGAGCCACTCCTCAGGCTTCCTGAGCCAGTGTTGGGTTTGTCCTGTATATCCATAAAAGTGATGGATTCTGAAGGATTTTACCTCTCTGCAAGGAATTTTTAAGTCGTGCTTTGATTTAAAGCATGTGCCATCGCTGGTTGAGCCATAACTCCAGTTCCTGGAGTATTCAGAGAATGACAGAACACTGCCAGGGATGGGGCAGCCACAGCTCTGCTGGGGAACCTGTGCCAGTGTCCCACCACCCTCACAGGAAAGAACTTCTGCCTAAGAGCTCATCTCCATCTCCCCTCTGTCGGGTTAAAGCCAGAATCAGAAGGGTGTAAACCCCACGGTTGAGATAAGAGCAGTTTAATAACTGAAGTACAATATAAAACTACTACTAATAGTGATAAGGGAAATAGCAAGGGGGGAGAATATAAAACTGAAAGAGGAAAGGAAAGAAAACCAATGAACTCAAGTGATGCCCAGTACAATTGCTCAGCACCCGCTGACCGATACCTGGCCTGACCCCAGCAGCGATTGGCCCCTTCTGGGTGGCACCCCCCTATGTTTCTATCCCAGCATGACATTCCATGGTATGGAATATCCCCTTGGCTAGTTCAGCTCAGGTGTCCTGTCTCTGCTCCCTCCTGGCTTCTTGTGCCCCTCCTCACTGGCAGAGCACGAGAGCCTGAGGAGTCCTTGATCAGGGTAAGTGCTACCGAGCAACAGCAAAAGCATTGGTGTGTTACCGGCGTTATTCCCAGACTGAAGCCAAAACCCAGCACGGCACCAGCTACTGGGAAGGAAAACTAAGTGTTAGCAACCAGTTGGGGATGGTTTACTCCTTCCTAGTTTCTTCTGCCAGCCACCAAGAGCCTTCCCGTGAGGTGAAGGTGTGTTACACGTGCTTTGCAGCAGTCAGCTTGAGCTGAGCTTATGCGTAATTGATGATAACTAATGTCTAATTACCATGATGAGACAAGTGACATAAAATTAAGCTGCAGCTGGGAGCTTGACTTCAACGTGAGGTGTCTGATGTGCATCATAATGCACAGAGAAAGACATTTGGCAGCAGCATGTTCAAGTTAGAAGGTGACACCAAAACTCATTTAATTTATGAGTGTCCATCCCAGAAGGTTAACAAGAGTTTTCCCCAAAAGACTGAGGAGCAAATGGCCACTGGTGACCCCTGGGCAAGAAGGAGAACTGGGGGTTTCTAAACCCAAATCCAACAATAAATAAAACCCCACCTTTTGCCTGTGTTTCATAGGATCATAGAATAGTTGGGGTTGGAAAGAACATTAAAATCACCCAGCTCCAACCCCCTGCCATGGGCAGGGACACCTCACACTAGACCATGTTGCCCAAGACTCTTTCCAACCTGGCCTTGAACACTGCCAGGGATGGAGCATTTACCACTTCTCTGGGCAACCTGTTCAGTACCTCAGCACGCTCACAGAGAACTTCCTCCTCATCTCCAACCTGAACTTCCCCTGTTTAAGTTTGAGCCTATCACCTCTTGTCTTATCACTACAATCCTTGGTTTCCTTTCCTGTACTGTTCACACAGGAAAGGGGGTATACAGGAGGTGCTCTGCTGAGTTGGGTTTGGTTTAAAGGAATTCATTCCATCATGAGTTGGAAAAGCCTTTAAATAGCCAACATTTGTTGTTGCCTTAGCCCACGTCCAGCAGTTACTCATCTACTACATCAGAACTGTTTCTGCTTTGCCTTTTGCTGGGTTAAGATGGCTGGGGATGCTCTGGAGGAGACCTGGCTTGTCCTGATGAGTGAATTCAGGTCAGCAGCCACTCCAAAGCTCGCTCTCCATCAGAATTATGTTGGGATTTCTGGGTAGCTTGCAAAACATCAAGTTAGGCTGTGTTCACCATCCCCTATCTGGTGCATTGGCATGTTTTAGACGAGCTCTTACTTTGCCTGCAGAATGCTGAGAATTGTTACCAAGGTGCATGTTTAATGTCTCAACGTCCACATTGTTCTCCTGCCCTCACATAGAATCTTTGTGTAACCACATCTTTTGTGTTTAAGCTTCAGTAGGGAATGTAATATCCCATGAACCTGTCAATTCCCATTTGGAAAAGGTCATTTGCTTTGGTAGCTTTGCAAGGTTCAGACCAACTGTTCACCCAATTAAAACTGTCCAGCAGTGAAAAGCCCCAAAGCTGTTGGGCACTTTTTTTGTGTTGCCTCAATCTCTCGTGAGTTCTTCTCTTTTTAACAAGAGGAGCTCAGAATAAATGGTCAAAAAAAGGGGGAGATTAAGTTTTTAACTGGAATTTGCTTGGAATCAAGCTTGAATGGTCTGAGCACACAGACTGCTGCGCTTGGCTTTGTTGAATCTAAGCTTAAGGCTTTGTTGAACTTAAGCTTAAGGAAACCGTCTCCTGGTGCATTTTTTGTCCCCGTTTCAGATTTTGGTAGATTTTGAATAGATTGTAATAGATAATTCAGCTCTGATAAGACTTCAGTCCATGGCCAGGTGCTGCACAGCCTGGTGGTATCCTTGGTGTACAAAGGCCATGCTCAAACTCGCCCCTTGCATTCCCTCCTTCTGTTTTCTCTAAAGACCTACTAAAACCTCTGAACTGCTTTGCCAGAATTGAAGTGGATGCTCTTTCCTGTTCCAAAATAACCTTTTGATTCCTTCTTTATGTCTATCTAGTGTTAAGTATTCGCGGTATTCAGGAAGAAGATCCCCCAGATGCTCAACTAATGAGACTAGATAACATGTTGCTGGCAGAGGGTGTCTCCGGGCCCGAGAAAAGAGGAAGAGGAGGACCGATGGCTGTAGCAGCAACATCAGGTGGCTGTCCAAATGACAATAGCATTGAGCACTCTGACTACAGGGCCAAGCTGTCACAGATCCGACAGATATACCACTCTGAGCTAGAGAAATATGAACAGGTGATCTTTCTGCATGGAAGAGTTTTTATCATCTCAATTACAAATAACTGTTTTTTCCTTGGGTGTTTGGTTGTAAGGACACAACAGGGAGTAGAAGGAATACAGGGGACCGCGAGGGTATCAAATCCAGTTGAAAAGTGATCTCAGTGTTGCAGAAGTGAGGCGCAGATCGAGGGCCTGGACATCAAACTGAAGATAATAAATGTCTCCTTTCTCCTTGTTGCTGTTTTATTGAGAGTAAATAGAGTAAAGCTGAAACATGGGAACTCCTCTGCAGCTGTTTGGGTTTAATTTCATGTTGGGGAAACGGACCTGAGCGTATTTCAGTGTTTGTGGATACAAATGTGTGTGTTTCCAGGCCTGCAGTGAGTTCACCACCCACGTCATGAACCTGCTCAGGGAGCAGAGTCGAACGAGGCCAATCTCGCCCAAGGAAATCGAGCGCATGGTGAACATCATCCATGGGAAGTTCAGCACCATCCAGATGCAGCTGAAGCAGAGCACGTGTGAGGCTGTGATGATCCTGCGCTCGCGCTTCCTTGATGCCAGGTACGGCCGCAGCAAACTGGCAACAGCAGAGGTTTAAACCTGAACTGCTTTTCTTGCTTCACTGCCCAAGAGTCACAGAATAGTTTGGGTTGGAAGGGACCTTAAGATCATCCAGTTCCAACCCCTACCACGGGCAGGGACACCTTCCACTAGAGCAGGTTGATCGAAGCCCCTGTGTCCAACCTCGCCTTGAACCCTGCCGGGGATGGGGCAGCCACAGCTGCTCTGGGCACCCTGTGCCAGCGCCTCAGCACCCTCACAGGGAAGAACTTCTTCCTTATCTGCAACCTGAACTTCCCCTGTTTCAGTTTGAACCCATCACCCCTTGTCCTGTCACTCCAGTCCCTGATGAAGGTCCCTCTCCACACCCTTGTAGCCCCCTTCAGACCCTGGAAGCTGCTCTGAGCTCTCCAGCAACTTCTCCTCTCCAGGCTGCACATTCCCAGTGTTCTCCGCCTGTCTCCATACGGGAGCTGCTCCAGCCCCTGCTCATCCTCGTGGCCTCCTCTGGCCTTGCTCCAACAGCTCCATGTCCTTCTTATGTTGACAGCAGAACTGCACCCAGTGCTGCAAGTGGGGTCTCAGGAGAGCAGAGTAGAGGGGCAGGATCACCTCCCTCAACCTGCTGCTCATGTTCCTTTTGATGCAGCCCAGGACACGGGTGGTTTCTGGGCGCAAGCTCACATTGAACCTGGCTCATGTTCAGTTTCTCATGGACCAACACCCCCAAGTCCTTCTCTGGCTGCTCTGAATCACTTCTCTGCCCAACCTGTAGCTGTTCCTGGGAAGGATTGAAATAGGAAGGATTCATCCTCTGTTTTGCTTGCTAAGGTACACTTTGACATCAACATCTCTTTAATCCCACTCAACTCTTACGTTCTCCCTCAAAACAAATGGATTTTAGAGGGGAAAAGAAGCTGACAGTGTCCTGTAGCCAATGTATCACATAATTTAAGTAGGAATAACTCACGTTTTCCAGGCGTAAACGACGGAACTTCAGCAAACAGGCAACAGAGGTGCTGAATGAGTATTTTTATTCACATCTGAGTAATCCGTACCCCAGTGAAGAGGCCAAAGAAGAGCTAGCAAAGAAAGGTGGCATCACGGTTTCACAGGTACGAAGTGGTTTGGCTGGAATTAAGTGACCCTTTTTCTTCCCCTCAAACAATGGTTTGGGTTTTCCCACTCCCATAGTTTGCAGCAGGCTTTGGTTAGTGGTACTTATCCATGATTTTGCTTATTCCAAAGGTATTAGTAGTTATTTTCCACTCAAAGCCTACTTTAAAACATCTCCTTTGCTGGCAACTTGTGCATCTAGTGGCAAATGGAGTAGTTTGAGCTCATAGTAACAGTGATGTATGTCTCCAGGTTTCCAACTGGTTTGGTAACAAAAGAATTCGCTACAAGAAAAACATGGGGAAGTTCCAAGAAGAAGCCAATATTTATGCTGCAAAAACAGCAGTGGATGCAACTAATGTGGTGGCTCAAGGCAACCAGGCAAATTCTCCATCTACACCAAATTCAGGTGAGGGACAGAGCCAGGGAGGGGTCTGGCTGCTTGGGAGCCTTCAGTTATCCCTTGTGATAATCAGCACCACGGAATACTGGTGTTCAAACCAGTTGCAGGATGTCTTTTCCTTTCAGCTTATGTATTTGGGGTGGGTTTTCTCTCTCATTAAAACATGGGTTTGGGTTTGTTTTTCCAGCTTCCTCTGGCTCTTTTAAGATGACAAATTCCAGCGATTCGTTTATCAACTTGCAGTCCTTGGCCTCCTACCAGAGCTCTCCGGTGGGAGCCAATGTGCAGTCACAGGTCAGTAAGGAGAAAGAAAACCCCCACAGTATTCTCGTGTTAAAATCCGATTTCTCTGTGGGAAATGGGATGAATGGGATGCCCGGGAGGTTGTGGAGTCTCCATCCTTGGAGCTACTCAAAATGAACCTGTTCTGTTTGACCCTGCTTTGGAGAGCAGGGTTGCCTTAGACAACGTTGGGGGGTTTAAGTAGTTTCTGCCTCTGGTGAGGATGCAAGAAATGCCTCAAGTCAAGTTTCTCAAAGGAGTCAAGAAACAAACCTGCTTAAATACATATTTTTCTATTGGAACTGGGATTTTCTCTCACAGCATTAACTGATCCCTAAATTAACCTACTATTCTTCTATCCCTTTACCTGAATGAATGGCTGTTTGCTCATTTTAGAGTCAGTCTTGTTCCACGTAACTAGATTTTGGCTTAGGATTTGTGCTTAACAGCATTTGTTAAACTCATCCTAAATGTCTAAATCCAGCTGAACTGCATAAAATTGGCTCCTCTGCCATAAAAGCTGTGATAGGTGTGATAACTCCATTCGAACTCTATGTGATGATGAACTAGCTGTGTGTAGCTCAATTAATAGCAAAGGAAACCTGGCTTCCTGCAAGGGAACCTGCCCCTAGTTTAAAGAGGTTTTGGTACCAGGTACAACTGCATTTCTATCCCTTGATTTTGTTTAATGCTCTTTGTTCTCCTTGGTTCTAGATGGATTCCTTGCATCATGTCATACACCAGGCAGGAAGATACGACACAATCGTGGGGAATCCTTTGTACACGACGCA